GTATAATTTATAATAACATTCTACATTCTGCAAGTCTCGATTATTTTATTATATTAATACAATCACTATATTGTTGATGAAAACGAATAAAAATTTAACAAATTAAAAATTTTGTATATTTTGTATATTTTTTGTATAAAAACAAATTAATATATATAATGCAAAAGAAAAATATTTTATTTAAATTAGTACCTATCGATACTCCTGCGTGAGGTAATTCATCTTCATACATCATGCCATCGCTGGTATAAATCCATGAAAAAGCACATAGTGCCGCGAGAAACTTCATGATTAGTGTACGATATGCAGAGTGCGAATAAACTGAAATTTCTCGTGATATGTCATTAGATAAGTAATGAAATGAGGAAATTTTTTCCTCATTTATATATAGCTATCAGAGGATGTAGCGGTAATGTACGGCTTACAATTTTTGCGGTTGCAAAGTGTTCAAGACACAAGACGAGGAATTCCCAAGGAAAAAAAGTTGAGATACGGAGTAATGTAAATATTTTAAGCCTGACATGATCATCTACTTGACTTATTCATATCTGAATCTAAAATAGCATGCGACTAGTGAATCACATTTCTATTTACTTATAAATTTCAACTCGAAGCTGGAGATAGAAAGTGCACTTTTATTTTCATGTGATAAAACATGTTTAAGTCTTATTTTTTTATTAATTTTTTTTTCTTTGTCTGTATTATTTGTTCTATACACATTATTAAATTATATATTTTCACTATTCGTTTTAAGACTATAAAATAAAATTTGATTAAAAAGGGAATCATGGAGAGTTTACACTGCGAAAACAGTGCAATCTACACAATTTGTAAATAATATTTAATTTATTACTTAAACTATACATCAGTATATTCCTTGGGCCACAATCGTCGATATACGTACAAAGTAAAAAAAAAGATAAAATTGTTGAAATTAGAAATGGAATGTACTATACTGTTGGCTAGAACGTTAAGATAGGTCCTTCTCGGTGATCCAGAATATCTACAACAAAAATTATTACGGCTAAAAAAAAATGGAAAGATTTACATATTATATTTGAACGCATAAGATTTAATACACCAAGCAGTTATTTTTGAATATTTCTATTTTTAAATTAATACTTTTTTCTTATATCAAAAATCTAATTTTTTTAGAATTTTCTAATTTTTTATCAATTATTTTCTAATTCTAATGAAATATTAAAGACGGAAATTTTAAAACTTTATTTTTGATATTGGAAAACAATATTAAATTAAAAAAATGAAAATCCAAAATGATCGCTTGATACTTGTGACATTTAATTTAATAAACCATATTTTATCAATAAGAAAAAAATTTATATTATAATATAAATTATAATATAATTTATTTGAGAAATTTCTAAATATTAGTAAAAAATAAATATGTTAATATAATTTATGTTTTCTAGTTTACCTTTGGCTATGCTCCACCACGGTAAAGTAATGTATGTCAAAAAAGCATTCAGAGGTACGGACTGCGCTCGCTTCGTCTCCTTCCAAAAATGGAAGGTTTGTGTAAAACCTCGCATCGTCCAAAGCGGATTGTACGCTCCATCATCCAGTTCTGAAAAGTGACATTGTTACAACAATACTCGAACGCTTGTAGTACATTAAACATCCTATAATGATCATTCGATCGATAGGATAAAGTCAGTTTCTTGCGTACAGGACAGACATTCACTCGAGCAATGAGACATAGACTAAGATACAAGCTAAAGTCAGTGGGAATTAAATGCATCTCTTTTTTTTTTATCAGATTGTTGACGAGCCACAGTGGAGCAAATGAACAAATTCGAGTGTGATATGATACGCAGCACAAGAATTATACGTGCGCAAGAGCTGAAATAAGGAATACCAGGATACATCCATTTTCGCTTTTATTCCGAAAGGTAATAATGATGAAGCTCCGTCCAGTGTTTTAATGTTCTACTTTTAATGTGTGAAGATCGCATGATGCATGTTACACACAGAGACAGATCCGCATTCGTTGAAAGTTAATCACACACGAATGGCATTTCACTTCGAGAAGAATTCGTGCCTAGATGTTTCCTCTTTTCATGAATTCTTGCTGCGTGTGTGTGTGTGTGTGTGTGTGTGTGTGTGTAGAAGATAGTA